GGAGGCCGGAGCCTTGTGTGAGAGAGAGAGAAAGAAGATGGTGGCTAGGGTTTGTGAAGGATAATTTTTGCAGAGTTTCAGTAGGAATTTAGACGTACCTTAACCCTTGTGTGTAGCTAGGTATTTATAGGAGCCTCGGAGGCTCCGCAGGTCTAGTGGTTCGGGTCGATGTCTTCGGTATCTCGAGCGCCGCTGGTTAACTTCCTCCTCGGTTCCCAAGGGTCGATCCTCTTGGTTGTTTTGCCCGTGGGGCAGATTAGGAGATTGAGCTTGTGAGGATTCCTCTGTGGCTTGTCGCCGTGTGTTGGTCCTCGAGCTCCTTGCGAACCCAGCCTGGTGAGCGTCGATCATTGCGCTCGTTACACGGTTGTTCACGAACTTGAGCTCCTTGTGAGCCCAGCCTGGATAGGTTACTTCCTTGTGGGCCCAAGCGGGCGTGTACATTGGATTGTGGGCCCAAGCGGGCATGGACATTGGACTGTGGGCCCAGCCTTTCGCGTACATTGGTCCTTAGACCTAACCTCGAACGGATTATCGACCGGCTCAGAGTACGACTTGCAGATGTTTGTGTCTCGCCAGCACGATCTCGTTCTCTCTCCTGCCCGTTTGCCCTTGCCTGACCGGCTTGGGACCTCTCGAACTGCTCGCTGACATGCTCATGCATCCTCCTCTCCTCGTCGTGGGGTCCAAGGTTAGGGCCTTGGTTCAAGTTGATCTGCCTGAGTAGCTGGCCAATCAGGTTGTTTTGATCGTCAACCCTTTGTGTGAGCTGATCAACCCGTGAGTTAAGGTCCACCTGACCAGAGGTGTGCATTGGGCCCAATGGCACATGGGCTAGGGCTCCATTGGACACGTACACAGGTGCATACGTCAAGTGTGGTGGCAGAGGAGGGAGAGAAAGGATCTGCTCCAAGGCTGGGGAGGCACCAAAGTAGCCATGGGGCTGTGCAGCAAGTCCGGCAATTGAGTGGTGTAGCTGCTGCTGTGTTTCGACAGCAGGATGGCGCGGCAGAACAGCT